AGTGAGTGTTCTGGAATTTTCCCATCAGCATATACATTCTCTGTTGTAACTTCAGAGATCACCATTTTGCAAAAAAACAGTTACAACAAAACCTCTTTGACAAATTTGAATTAGCATGGAAGCCAATTACCTAAAGCAGCAAAGAAATGGGTCCAATTCCACAAAGTCATCAAACTTACTGTGTCATAAAAATCAGGTTTTAGTTTAATGTTTTCTTAGACTAGGTTGGCATTATTATCATTTCAAGAAGACACATTACTAGATACACTTTTTATATATTTAATAAAGTTATATATCAACAACTTTTGGATTTGTACTTTTGTTTGATCACTTATTTTGGCAAAGTGAAATATTAAATACTAGTACTAGACGTGCATTCCTTTCATTCAAGCTTAAGAAAACATTTACAAAGTTGACAGATAACATTTATTAAAACGTTATAGAAAAAAAGGGGCATGGGACTCTTCTATAAGAAGAAAATATTGAACAGTAACATTAAATTAAAACCATGCTGTACAATTAGGACAGCAATATTTATAGACAAAACTATCCAACCTCTGCAATACAGGCATAACATCTCACAAAATATCAAGATATGCAAATTTACTATTATAAATGACTTGTTTAGAATAAAAACTTATAGCTCGTTAAGGAAGATTCACTCGACTTGCATAAAGTTACATTTCTGAAAGAAATATGGAATCCCATGAATAAAAAAAAAAAAGGAGCAGCTATCAACAGACACAGGCTTCAAGCAAAAATCAACTTGCAATTTAATCACATTAAAAATATACCATTTTCTTTTCCAGCATCTTCCTCTAGGCCACTGACAGTTTACAGCTAATAGCTAAAGAAGCCAAGCTATCAATGAAGTATTTAAAAGACAAAAAGCCAACTTTCCTTTGTTGCTTTGAGAAAGGTCCTAATTCTGTAACAGCAAAACTCTCAGTGTACTGCTGTAGGCTCCCATAATTCAGAGACAGGTCACCTTGCTGGCACCCAGGCAAAAGTATTGAGATTACAAACCCTGATTTGCCTCCATTCTTTCAGGATCAATAAGACTGGAACACTCAATACATCAGCCTTTGATCATCCGCCTTGCTTATGATACAGGACGGTTTCTCAACCTCAGACACACCTCAGATGAAAAAAGCTGTGACCAAAAACTGTACTGACATTACCTTCTAGGGTCTATCTGCTCACCCATAAAACTAACAAGGCAAGTTTAAAAAATCAACAAAAAAGCATCCCACAAACCAACACTGGTGTGTGAAATAGGCACCTTCTCCCTCAAAAGGGCCTGATATACACCTAAGCAGATTTTAACCCTGCTAACAGTTGAATTTTTCAGAATGGCAGTTACACAGATTCCGTGGTAATTAACAACACAGTTACAAAATGGATTGAAAAGAAACTTAGCTGCAGTATCATTAAGTCTTCTTACCACTGCTAGGACAATGAATGGCTTCAAATCAGCAGGAAAGTCAGAAAGCCACCTGGGTGTACAATATTGCTGGTTTTCAGAAGACACTCACTTTACTACAGCCAATAGTCACATCATCAAAGGTAATGAAGCATACGGGAAGATTAATGAAATTCATCATATACATATGCATTCATATTATATATATACATATATATATATGGATCGCTTCCCTCCTCCCCACAAATAAGAAATAATTTTTCGTACCTTGAACAAGACCACTCCATAAGCAAAGATCAGAGGCTTGACAGAAGCTGCGTCTGTGTATCTTGGCTTGCTACGTTCAACTGCACTGGCCACCAGTGGCAGGGACTGCAGGGCTGACACGTGGCTAGAGGTTGCGAGCTGCCCTGTGCTAGTCAAAAGAAGTTCAGCCTGCACACAAAATGGATGTGAACAATCCACTGCAAGCCAAAATCTCAACCAGAGGTGCACATAATGCTTCTGCTTAAACATACTTAAGGAAGAGTGGCAGCTCTAGCAAGAGGTGCAGGCAGACACATGGAGAAGATACTCCTGGGTACGTGTGGAGAAACTGAAGAGCTGCTCTTGGGAGAACACCTGAAGAAGTCACTGAGAACACGCACAGACATACAGGACACACTCCCTGCCTGAGGAGATTCACTTCTAAGAGGACTCCAGCCTACAGCTAAGCCCTGCCAGAGCAGGTACACCTCTAACTGAGTTCCACAGAAGAACCAAGCTGGAACAGACACATCCCTGTGGCCCAGTGTCACCATGAATACTGACACTGACAGCCCAGAGCACTAGAGGACACCCACTAAGAAATGAAAAGCATCAGACAAGGAAGTGTGCATATGACCCCAACCTCCTGTGTGACCTGTCACCTTACTAAAGGTGAAAGCAAGGGGATACTACAAAGGCAGGGAGAAGAGGTGTTAGACTTAAGCTGAGCATGAGGAAGATGGTTTAAGTAATTTTTAATCTTTCTCCCCCAGTACCTGAAATGGTGATTAGAAGTTTGACAAAGAGCAATAAACTGAGTTCACGAAAAACACCAGAAGACAACGGTTTCACCTGTGACATGCAAAAGGATTTGACATGTATCTCAAGCTGCCCTTAAATCATCCTCTCAACTTGATCTCAGGACAATCAGATCAGTATTTTCCTGCAATCAATTAGTTTCATGTAAATTAACAGCAGAAAGCCAAGTGTTACAAAATCAGTGGAGCAACGTTTGTTCAAATGGACTTCAAAGACAATGCCATAATATGGGGTAAAACAGCAAGAGGCAAATACTAAAAAGTTACTATTCAAGCTAAGTCATTAAAAAAAGGACATGGTCCTATAATATGATCTACGTAACCTGTTATAAAATCTTTAAAGTGTCTCTCGCAGTACATTTGATTTTAAAGCTTTATTTCAAAGTAATCTAACTGCAAATAGAAGCAATGTTAAATCTTGAAATATCCCATATAAAAGTCATTCCAAGCTGGTAAAAGAAACAGTTTTGCTGGCAGCTCTGTAGGATGGTCTGAGTTTGACATATATTTTTTTTGACCACAGTTTTCTGACTGGTGTTTCTGTCCAGCCTTTCTTATGGTTAAATGGGAAGAGGCACCATCAACCTTTTTATGCAAAATTAAAATGACAATTGGAAAGGGGCTGAGGATTAATGTAATACACAAGATCATTCTTGAAATGAGTATGAGAATAAACACCCTGGACATGTTCAAGGCCAGGTTGGATGGGGCTCTGAGCAACCTGGCCTAGTTGAAGGTGTCCATGCCTATGGCAGGGGCGTTGGAAGTAGATGACCTTCAAAGTCTCCCTCCAAGCCAAGCCGTCCTATGATTCTAATGCCTTCCTTCAAATGTGATGATGGCACTTGCAGAAATGACACATGTATGTGGTAAGGCCTTGGAGAATGGAAAAATAGGGCCACCGAGTGCAAGAACCCTTTCCTCTACTCTCATGTAAACAGGCAAGCATTATAGTATTTTTTAGTATTAAAAAGGACAGTGTTAGCAGTGTGTAAACAAACCATAGAGGGGATATAATTTCTAAGTTTAAAAAACATACTTATAAAGTTTTATGGTTTGTTTTTTATTGTTGGTTTTTTTTTGTTTGTTTTGGTTTTTTGTTTTTTGGTTTTTTTTTTTTTGTTTTGTTTAGTTTAAATACAAAGTGCTTCTATACATTAAGCAGGTTACAGTGTTAGTGAGCAAAATCCCTGTTTCAGTACCTTGATCACAAAGGTCAACCATGGCCACCATGGTATTTGTAGAGTTCAATTAAGTGCTAAGAACAGGAACTCCGTGGTGCTGATCATTCGTGCCCATTGCCAGCAATGGGTTCATTTGACTTGGGAACATCTGTTTTAACAAAATTCCATATGAAAAAATATTTGAAGTATTAGAAGATTAATAATTAAGAGCCTCTTTAAAAAAAAAAAAAGGGTTTGTAAGTAGAATGCCAGTAAAGAAATTACAGTAATTGCAGCTCACCGAGTAGAAAACCCTCAGCTTGCAACAGACATTCATTTTCAGGACACAGTTCCATTGTATCTTAAGACAATTTGTAACTGGGAGTTCAAAAAAGAATCTGAAGTGTAATAATATTTGTGTGGTTTTGCTTCACCATACAGGAGCATCTGTTTCAGTACATTATCCTGCACACAGCAGTGCCTAATACAGAAATTTGGGCCAAACAGGCTTAGGTCTTTAATGCTGGTTAACTTTTTCTCCATGTGAACAGCACTGTACTTGGATATCACCTCTTTCTATTATATTCTATATATGTTCTAAGGCTCTTTCCTTTTCATATCTCAGTAAGCTACTAAGAAGCTTTTGCTTACTAAGAAGCAATTGCTTTCGCATTGGACTGCATTAAGCTTTCAACCCCAAAATTCTGCTTTCACCTTTACTCAATCGGCAGAGCTGGCAGCATCCCTTAGAACTATACACTCTGTCTCCATGAATGAGAGCCCCACACATAGATCCTCATCCTAACAAAGAACAAGTGTCACTTTCCCAGCAAAAATCCCAACTTCAGACATAAGCATGGCACCAGGTTCTGCAGTACCATTAGAAGATCCAAATCACATACTTCCTACTTTTTTCCACAAGCAACTTCATTTGAGGAAGTAAACAATTCTGCTTGTAATCACCAGTCACAGTAGTTCAGTACCAAGAATCTGTATTATAGTTCTTACTATTCAAATAGTAAAGAATTAAAAGTATAAATACCTATCAATGACTATGTAATTTTCCTAAAGCAGGTTTCTAAAACTAGATAGAAGTTCTCAAAGAAGTTTTTGTACCAATAACAAGTCAGTTCATTAATCTAGAGTTTGGTACTTGCTACTGTAGTAAGCCACAAGAATTTGTACAGAAATTGACACTTTAAATATTTGATTATTTTGACTAAGTTCCAAATGTTACATCTTACTTTTTGTTGGTGTCTTTTTTTTTTAATAAGACATATTTACTACACACACTTCTAGAAGCTCTCACAATGTAGTAATTAAAATCTAATGAAGTCAAGAATCATAGAGCATTAGACCCTAGAAGAGCAAGGACAAAGTATACTTAATATATACTGAAGTTTATATTGCGATAAACCGTGAGTGCATTACAGACTAAATAGAAATCAGCACAAAATTAGAGACTTGTTTTACTGAAGATAAATTAAAAAAACAGAAGATGGACAAAGGAAAGCCAAACCACCTTTACCACTGCCTTTCATTAAGCAATACAACAAAGGCTACTGAACGATGCACACTACCTAATGATACATATTAAGCACTTTGGCAGTCTTCACCTTGAGGTGCAATGCTTTTTTTTTTTTTTTCTTCTTTAAATGTGAATCGAATAACCCAGTTTGGTCATCTTAGTTTTCTTCTCCAATGAGGAGTGCTACCTGAATTCCTAGTTCATCTAATTATTTTCAGGATTGTTGTCAATTTAGAGCTGAGTTTTACTGTGAATTTAAATGACTTAAAAATACAAGACGGTTTCTAAATACTGCTGTGATTACAATCAATCTCAGACCTCATTTTGCAAGCACCTTTCCGATTAACCACAAGCACTTCACACACTGAACACCTGAAGTAATATTGCAGGAAGCAAAATACATTTGATCTGTTTATACCAGCATACTGATTAAAACTTTTTTTTTTGAGAACGTACAATAGCAAGTACCAGACATTATTTGCATAATTAGTTTATTTTTCTTACTCTACTAAACAAATGTAAGCACTAATGTCTTAGTTCATCTCAGTAGTACTCTGCTCAGTTTTAGTAGCCTGATAGGACTTGGTACAAGAGGTCACATGCCGATGAAAACTGTCCCGCCACATAAATCTTTTCCCACAGATGTTACACTCATACGGTTTTATGCCTGTATGAATTTTCATATGGCCTACAAGATGGTGTTTCATTTTGAATTTCTTACCACAGACACCACAGCCATAAGGTCGAAGACCAAGGTGCATACTCATATGCCGATCTCTCTGACTTTTGTGTGTAAAGCTTTTTCCACACTGACAAGGATAGAGCTTATCGGCATGGGAGAATCCAGTGAGAGACGTTTCTTCTTTAATCCCAGCAGCCATATCAATGCTTTCACCATAGCCTGCTGCTATCATAAGATCCTGTCTGTGAGCACTTACATTTCCATCTGCCCTTTCACCAGAAAATTCTTCCATAGACGAGCCATAGAAATCAACTTGTTCATCATAATTACTTTCATCTGCCTGTTCATCAAATTCTGGTTCTATCTTTTTGTCACTTATGTGAAAATCTTCAACGCCTGAAGGCTGGATTGAGTGATCTGCCTGGATGGCATTCATGGATTCAGAAACCTGGTGTTCATCATAAGGATTATCAGTGCCTTCACAGTCTTGTTCAAACCTTTCTGGTTTCACGTGGATCCACCGTTTGTGAGACATGATGCTGGGTTTGCTATACATTGGTCTGGTATACTGGTACTCTGCACTATCACTAGTACCCTCTTCCCCATCCTGACTGGTCATTCCAGTGCTAAGTCTATCGTGTTCTGTTGAAGAATTACTGGGAAGGTACTCGTGTTCTGTCAGCTGACACGACAGTTCATCTTTAGAGCTCTCTTCTTCATTTTCACCATCCCTTAGTTCCTGCACTTTGTGGAATTCTGTCTGTCCTCCAGAGCCAAGTTCAAAGGTTTCAACTAGGCCATTGTAGTTGCTGCTGCTTGGGGACTGATGGTCACTGCCATGATTCATCTTCTGACACAGAACTGTTGGGTTTCCCTCAAGCACTTCAGTGCACTTATCCACTACATGCCACATCTGAAGGAAGCTTGCTGCTGTCAGATAACTAACAATTTCTGGCGCAGGCATTACCAGCCGGCCTGTGTAGGTAGACAGAAGAATGTTTTCAAATACTCTGGGATTCATCACATCAGGCAGGACTATTCGCCTGCTGTTTTTCAGGAGAACCTGATCACAGAAGTAAGGTGAACTAGCTGCAAGAACAGCTTTATGGGCTCTGAAGAGATGGCCCTGAACCACAATGGACACATCACATAATTGTCCTTGCTGGCGCTGTTGATTTAACTTCTGCAAAATGGTGCTAGAAAAATCTGGAAATTCCACTCGAAAGGAGCTTGACCCAGACTCCATTTCATTACAAATTTAGTGTTGTGCTGCAAGAAAAAAAAAAAAAATTAGAAATTCTGCTTGGTCAAGTATTGACCTTTCAATTTTCTTCTATTCTTTTTCTTAACAGACTCACATGGAATTCAACATTTTCTGGAACCTTTTGCCACTGTTGTATTTCTCTCAAGCCACCTCATTTTTCTCTTCTGAAAGCTGTACTAAGGCCATAAATTTCTATGCCAGCAAGTTTTGTTGTGTTTCTTCTCTCCAAGAGGACTCATCAACTACAGCAGGATCTACAAACAGCAAGTTATCCAGTTGGGATAGACTAAGCATTTCCAACATGAGTTTAGGCTAGCAAAATCGATATTTCATGGAATTATACAGCACACTTCTAACTCCAGGATGTTCCACAGTTTGTTCCACCATATGAAAGATTCTGTATTTCAACTGCCAACAAAATCATCTTATTGATCCTCCAATGAACACTGATTTTACTCATGAAATATTTCACTTAAAATCAATTTTTCAAAAGCAACTGTATCCACTCACAGGATGACACTGGAAGTGCAGGCAGAATCCCACTAAGAATGAGGCTTATGACCCTTCTCATGCATTTCCCTCTTGTTTTATTAACTGAAAGGTGGAACAGCAACAGCTTGTACAGTTTTTAATTCCAAGCTTATTCAAATATTTAGGTTAGCGTTAGGGTTATAATGTTAATGTTATTTCCTTTTAGGGAAATCATACAGAATTTAAAATGTCAATCTAGAAATTGATACCTTTGCCTGCACAGAACTTTTCCTGTCTGTTCCTTGTGTATTTGTAACAACATAACAATTACAAGCCAGAATCTCAGCTAAGAGCTCCCAGATTTTCACATCTCTAGTCTGACATAATCTAGATGTCTCACTACAAAGTTAACAGTCCTTTAAGCAGTAACACGACTTTTTCAAATACATACTTGAAATTTTAAACTGAATCGGAGATAAATTTGCACGTTAGTGTAATCAGAAATGACAGAAATTTAAATGCCACTATGAAATACCAATATTAACTGCTTGAGTAAGTTAAACCTGTGCAATTTTTCTAGTTGATAATGTGTAAATTGAGTAAATTGCTATGGGATTCTTGAAGAGCTGTGGAGCAGCAAGCCGTTTCCTTGGTCAAGTTCCATGAAGTTGCTACCCACATGATTGCATAATACCACCTTTAAATTTACTGTCTCCAGCACTCCTCAGGTTCTTTTCCTCAAAGTACCAACCCTCCTCAGAACAGAATTAGCTACCCGTACTTTTCCAGTGAGCAACGGAATACTGCACCTTCCAGTTCACTTGTTAACTTTTCTTACCACTTTGCTTAAAACAATGACATAATTATTTCAGTATTACAAAGTATATACTTTATGTATATTACGTCTAATTTTTGAAACAATCAGATTTTCTTATACAGATGCAGTTCCTTACCTCCTTCAGAATATTCTGATTTAAGATTCTATTCTTCAATACTTGACGACAAAAAAAATAAGCCTTCAGGGGATGATCAACTGAAATTTAAAGACAGATGCCTGTACATCTTATATATAATTACAGGTAATCTAAACTGTCATCTTTCAGCATGTCACCAAAAAAAACATTTCCGGACGACAGCAGACATTTTTGTATTTTAAGTTCTCATGCAGACAAAATGTAAGCAAAATATTTTCAATTAGCAAAGCCATACAAGTGAAGCAAACCGGTTTTCGAGGGTTTCACTCCCTCCTTCTACAATCTGCTTTGTTTTGCACTTTTATTCCAAACTCATAAAGAACAAAGCCTTTCTACTTTAATTAATAACAAGAAAAAAAAAAAAAGAAACCTTCATGCTGGAGCATTGAATAAAACGCACAAGTCATATTTCAGTTGCTTTAAAATAACATTATTTGTACTAAGTGCTAGCAGGGAGTTCCGTCCCCTCTCCACGAGCAGGCCTGCAGATATGGATCCCTCACCCTCGCAGCGCCCCCGCGATGCTGCCGCGGCCGCACCGGCGGGGCCCGGCCGGGAATCGCTCCAGCCCGCAGGACCGGACAGGCCCAGCGCCTTCCGCGGCGGCACGGACCCGCCAGAAGGCTCCGGTCGGAGCCGCCCCGGCCGCCGGTCCCGGTCCCGGTCCCGACGAGGACACCGACCCGGCCCGACAAGAGCGCGGGACCGGCGGACGCGGGGCGTGGGAAGGCCTCGCACACCGCCCCGCCCCAGCGCGGACCCGCGCACCGGGCCTGGCGGCAGCGCGGCCGCCCAGGGGCCACGAGCAGCAGCGTCTCACCTGCGGGTCGCGGCGTCTCTCTCATAGCGGGACGCTGTCGGTGCGGCCCCGGCCCCGGCCCTGCCCGCGCCCACCCCGGCCCGCACCGGAAGTAGCTGCCCCCCCTTCCTGCGGGCACTTCCGTGTCCCGGTCACGTGACGATGGCCCGGCCCGTCTACCCTGCCCGCCGTGGGGCTCTCACCCGGGGCGGCGGCGCCCCCTGCTGGCCTCGTTTGGGAGCGGATGTATTTGACCCGAGCTCCGTAGGAGCGCTCTGGGCCGAGCTCTCCGGTCCCGTCCTGGCCTCTCCCCTCCCTTTGCGCCGCAGCTGCTGCCCGGGGCGATACTCTCAGCGCTGCCGTGGGCACTGCCCGGAGCGGACCAGCCCACAGTACAACTGAAGCCCGCTGTCCTCGCCAGGCGCCGGCTCAGCCCGCGTGTTCCGCACAGAGGTGCTGGGGGACGGGCATTGTCCTACCGCCGAACCGTTGCCATGGGCTCGCAAGCAACACCAACACCTGTGCCGGAACCTCGGCACGGTTCACCGCGGTGCCGCCCCGCTGCGGCCCGCAGGGGGCGCCGCTCCCCGCCTGGGCCTGAGATCCGCCCTTTTCTGCGGGAAAATGCCCCAAATAAACGGATAAAAATTTAGTATTAATTATGCTTAATCTTTTTTTTTTTTTCTTAAAGAAAACAAGAAGACAATATCTCCGTTTTTAAATTCATCACAAAGACTTCAGCTGGAGCTGCCCTCCCGGCTGGTTGTCGATGCAGCCCGAGCCGGAGCACGAGGTTCTGGGGGGCAGAGCTGTCCCGGCTCTCGGCTCGTGCCCCTGAAAACCTCACCTGAGCCAAAGCCAGAGTGGTTTTCTGTGGCTGAATTGGGGCAAGAGAACGTGCTAAAACCCTGGCGTAGGAGGGAGAGCAATCTGTTCCATGGGAGCTGAAGTAGTTCTCCTAGACAGAAGCTATCCCCATTTTAGCAAGTACTGTATCTGAATAGAATTTGGTCTATTGCCTGTATTTTCAAGTCTGGTAGTGCACATTCACATATTAAGTACATTCCTTCCTACATTAGTAGGAACTCTAATAAAAACTTGGCCTGCGTGGAGAACAGTGTGATGCCACAGCTGAAAGTGCAGTGTTGCAAAAAGTTAATAATTAGTTATAAAGTAGATGTGAAATCAACTCACAACAGAAGAGAACTTAGCTCAACCTCCAGTGGCATAAACAGCAGCAGGAGCTGCCCTGGCAGCCCTTGTTGCACATTCAGGAGGCAAGAAGGGTAAGGGTCAGTTGCTCCAGGTGTGGGGAATTAAGCACTCCCTACAGGTAGGGAAGTTGTTCAGGTATAGCCTCACAATGGTCATCTGACTTGCACGGCAACTGATTGCACAAACCACTTTGGAGGGAGGTATTGTGGATTTTCTCTCCAGACTACCACACGATTAACTCTGCACCTTGCTGGGTCTGCTAGGTAGCGTTCCTAAGCATTTGGATAGGAAAGGAACCATGTACTCCACTTCTTAAATGAGAGATTTCTGTAAAGAGTCAAAACACACACACAAGTGATAGCTAACTCAACAGGCTCCATCCTCTGGCTATGACAGCACAGTTCCCCAGCAGGAAGTTTTGAAGAGATCTCAACTAATGTCAAGTTCATACTGTAAACTGGGATCTCAGTGAGTCTTGAAAGCTCCTGCTACTTTCTCTGCTAAATGGTGCTAAAGATTTTTCAGCTGCCAGATTCCTCTCCCCTCCTTGCTTTGAAATGGCCTCCGTCTCTGCCATGTCTGATAGAAGCCAACTGGAATGGGAATCATCCGGTACAGCTCTGAACTGTGGAGCAGAATTCTGAGATCATGGTGGAGAACTACCAACGAAAGCCTCATTTTCTCTCTCATAATTTTGGGAGACACTAAATTCTTTTAGATTTCTGCATTTATGTGATGCAGCATCTTACACAGGATTAAGAATAAAGCATCATCCTCTATCCCGACTGATCCTTCACAGTCATGAAGTCTTCAATGTTCTTCAGGTTTACAGAATAAATACAACCTTACTTTTGATCATAGCACGGTCAGTGAAAGATTTGGAATATTATATTGGCTCAGTGTGTGCAAATGAGTGTGAAAGAAGTGTGCGACAAGGGTGCAAATGAATGCAGGAACAATCG